ACACCGCACACTAACATCTAACACTTACAGCAAAAAAGCTTAATTTATATATATAGATATATATATGTATTTATATATAGAAAAAGAGAATATAAGAAAATATTTGCACAAGCTTTAAGCACAAGTGTTTGCTACTCTAAGCTGACATTTCCAAGGAAATTCCATGCAATTTCTATAAATACTACGCATGGAATGTGTGTGTGACACTGTGACAGACAGTCACACAGACGTGTGTGCGGCTATTCAAATATTACAGTGAAAAAGTCGCGAATTAAATCTGCATTGAAATTAATCATTGACTTTAACATGTTCGCAAGTTAAATGCGCTTTAATAATTCATGAAATGCCATTGCGATATATCACAGACTCATTTATAATTTAAAAGTGTTTAAAATATGCACGCACACACACACACACACTAGCATAAGTACATGTAGAAAACGAAATTGATGTGATTCGGTAAATGATTTCAATGTGGTCTCTATTCGTAAATAAATCTACACATGTGTATGTGTGTGTGCGAGTGTGTGCGTGTGTATGTGGTCGCTGTTTGGCGGAGTGCGTGAAAAGCGGATGTAGCAAACCGGGAATGGCCATAACAAACAACCTCATGAATTAATGCGGCTTAACACTGCAGTGTTTGCTCGCCAATTTGATACGCGGCTGGTTAATTTATTTGCTGCCGAGTTGTTGTTGTTGTTATTGTTGTTGTTCGGCATTTGAGCATTTGTAATGCAATTGATTTCATTCATTATCCAGCAGGCATTGATTATGCGTAGCATTAAAGCTGAATTATGAATTCCGCTTCGGGCAGCAGGAGCATCCACAAGACTGAGCCGGGATCATTACAATTTTCCAATGGATTTTCGGTCGGGGCGCCAACTGTTTGGCCTGGCTTACGACACGTCCTGGCACTATCCTCGTTTGGCTGTCACTGGCTTTTTAATATTTCGTTGCTGACATCTTGCCATGTAGGTTTTCCTTTCGCCTTCTCTTTCCCTCTCTCTCTCTTTCGCTCATTCTCTTTCTCTGTCTGCTGCTGTCTCTTGGCATTCACTTTTTGTTGTTGTTGTTGTTGAATTTCATTAAAATTTGCACCCATTTGCCATAATTTGTTCCTTATTTCATTTTTTTTCTGTATTTTCTTGTTTTTTTTTTTGTTCCTCGTTGTCATACGAATGACAGCTATGCCCCGCACCCCGCCTCGTTGCCCCTTGCTGGAGCGCTCAGGCCGTGCCACAGATGAGCCTGACAAGCAAATGAAAAACTGTACAAAAGAGTCTCGTATTTTGTATATTTTGTGCATGCGATGTATGCGAGAAATAAATGAGCATTAAAAACATATACTCTGATCAACTGCCAATGATCAACTAAGAGATGCCCTATAATGAGCGCATTTGCTTGGGGGTTTTACCTAAAGTTGTTTTCTAAATGAAAATCCGAGATATATTTAAGTAAGACAAAAAGGTCCAGTTTGAGATTGTTTTAAGTTGCTTTAAGTAGCATCTGAATATGTTTGATGTAAGAGATTCGTTATCAGAAAAATGCCAAAGTATCTTGGCCTATACTTTACTTTAATAACTTTAAGAATAATTACTATTTATATAGTTCACATTCGTGACATTATATAGATATATGTGAAATCTTTTACTTAATTCATTTTATTCTCAATTTGATTGCCCATTCGTATACTCATTAACTGGGGGCAGGGTATTCAATGAGGAGTTGTCGCATTTGTTGTGAATCAATGAAATGCCAGGCAGTGTCAAAAGTGACAGCACCTCGACGTTGCATGCCACATATGTATATAGTACACCCACACACACATACAAACATACACACTGACAAGGACTGACTGCTCTGTGGCTGTGCTCCATTAACCAAATAATGCACTTTAAGGTGAGCGCATTTATTTACAGCATTTTTTGCTGCGGCCAAATTGTGACAGTGATTTTTCATGACGTGCATGTTGATTTAAATACAGTGACAAATCAGTGCAGTCGCTCGATTTAACGAACCGCAACTGGCGCATCACTCATACGCACTGTTTGCCTCTCGAGATGGTGCGATTGGCATGTGAAGTATATGTACATATATATATATTGCGAGTCGATCCATGGGGGCTCGTCATTAAGCACTGCCAGCGTTCATTTATAAGAGCTAATGCTAATGCATTTCGCATTAATTTCCAAGCACGACAGTTGGCAGCAAGATGCATGCACGAAGATGAAAATGAATTGCTCGAAATTAGTTCAAACGCATTTGACGTTTTCTAAGTTTGGCGTTAAGTTTGGGCTGCCGACACGTGCGTGGCATGACGACGCGAAAGGGGTGGGCGCTCTGGCATTAATAGTTATACAACAACGGACATATTGATAAATGAGCGTATTTTCGAAGCGCTATTTGGGGCTGGAGTTGCAACCGAGTCGCAACAACAACAACAACAACAACAACAACAACACCACACGTTCAACTATTTCAATGGCAAATGGCTGAGGGGGCGGAGGAGGAGAAGGTCTGGGGCGTGGAGCATCAGCGTTTGCTGCGAAAAATGACTTTAGTGCCAAGTGTGAGAATTTTCAGTATTTGCTGTATACACATACACACACATACACACATACACACACACACACACACACGCACGTCCACATGGGGTGAGAAACAAATGCTTGCAAATATTTCTGCAGCTGTGATTCCCTCCACTTGCTGCTGCCTCTCGCTTAGCCACACACAACAACAATCGAGGGAGACAGAGAGAGAGAGAGGGAAGAGGGGGGCACACTTGTGCACAGCGGATTCATTCCACCATCGAATGCGCCACAATGAGTCAATTTTTTAACATTTATTTGACAGAAATTTTCATTTATTTTGCTTAGCTTATTTCAGCGCGAACAAAACAGGAAAAGCAACAACAACAACAGCAGCGAAAAAAAGGAGAATTTAATTAAATTGAAATTAATTTGACAGGATATTGCAGGCAGCGGCAGAACTATTAATAACACCACCATGTGAATGTGAATGTGAATGTGAGTGTGAATGTGGGTGTCTGAGTCTGAGTGCCGCTGTGAGTGCATGTGAGTGGTGTGCTGCTGTGGCAAGACAAATGCGCGCCAAATAAATTCTCATGTTGCGCTTTTGAAGCTGCCCGTCAAAATTGCAGAGGCGAAGCCAAGCAAGAGCCACAGCTACAGACAGTCAGAGATACGGACGTGAGAGTGAGCGCTGGATCGGGGGGAGGGGGAGTTACCAGCCAGCCAGGAGCTCGGCTAGGCGCAGCAATAAATCATTGCATACACTACGGCGCACAGAGCGAAATGTTTTCGCTAGCTGCGCACAGGCGGCGCGACGGCACATAATTAATTAAATTTCACTTTTAACAGGACAGCCATTCAGGAAGAACAAAATTATCACACATACGCCAACTGTGGTGCAATTGAGCCCGGCATTGACATACGCGCCAACAGATAGAACCAATAAATTTTGGAGCACCACAAAACGTGCTCCACATACAATTGGCGTGCCTCGCGCCATGTGCTAAACAAAACGTACAGACTTTCACTTAGGTGCGCTATAAATCGCGTGTTGCCCACATTCGCTGTGTCGCCCGGGTGCCTTTTCGGTGCGCTTGAATGCTGACAGCTGTGCGGCAAGGCTTGGGCGCGCCCAAGGCGGTCGGCGGCTCAACTGGGCGTGGCATGTCATTTAAAGGTTGTCGCCGGCCAAGAGCGAGCACCAAATGCCACGCGCCGCAACGTGCTTAACTCAAATAAATAACAAACATTGGCGGACAGCCACCAAATTTATGGCCAACCAGAAACAAGTGAAACGTTTAAAGCCCAACTTCAGCTGGCGCTCGAAAATGAGGAGAAAGCCTTTCGAGCAGCCTCAGCTTTAAAATTGTGCCAGAATTCAACCGAGTGACTGCCATGGCTGAATGGACAGCTAGGATTGCGAAGCCTGCCGGGCTCGACTCGGACGGGCTCGGCCCGGCCTGGTCCTGAGTGAGCAGACGACAATCATAGCTCAAGTGGGTGGCCACGTTGAGCTGTCGTCTCCAGCGTGCACATCATTGGGCATTAGGTATGCATGCCATTGCGCATTGGCGGAATATATGAGCCATGGGGCGGTCGCAGTGCAAAAATTGTTGAGCAATGCGCCCAGAGACAATGATGGGCGAGGACGATCGAGCGGGTGGCGGGTGGCGGGTGGCGGGCTGAGCAGCGATGCGTAGCGCCAAATGGTAGCCTCTGCCTCGATAATGAAGTTAAAAATTCCATACATACAAACACAGAATGACTGACAGACAGACGGCGGACAGAGGGACAGACGAACGGACTAGAGCTTAAACGTGGCACAGAGACAAGCCTGCAGTTGTTTTTGCTGATGCTTTCATTGCTGGTGTCGTTGTCGTTGCTGCTGTTGTTGTTGTTGTTGCTATGCGGCATTTGGCGTTGGTATTTATGAGTACGTTGTCCTTGATATGCGTGCGGAATTACTAAATGTCCCTGAGTTGACACTAACTCACACGAACATACGGACGACACTCACACACACACACACACCATCAGCCTTTCATTCATTCATTCATATACAAACACACTCGCTTCCATTTGCCTGCGTCTGAACTGTTGCTTAACATCGACTGCAATATGCTTGCCAGCCACGCCCACATCAGCAGCAGCAGCATCAGCTTCAGTTCCCTGGGTAGCTGCACATGAACACCTTTGCACATTCTTAACGAGTGTAAACCAAAGAATATTCGACAATATCTAGATTAAGTAGACACTCAGTCCTTAAGCCAAGTGCAAGTACAATGGGCTGTCAATGGAGCTAGAGGATGACACACATACATGCAAATACATTCACAACTAATTGGCACACTCTCAGGCAGAGTATTCAATGGTCGTCATTGTCAGCTCTTAATTCCCATCTAGCTGACTTCTCTGCGTCTGCTTCTGCATACATATTTTTTATCTCGAACGTGCAGCTATGCCTGGGCCGGGCTCGAAATTTAAATAGAAATAGCATGTTGATATTATTCGATGTAGGTTTTTATTTAATTTAATATCCGACTCAAGTGTGTTTGCATCTTTATCTCTCTCTCTCTCTCTCTCTCTCTGTGTGTCTGTGTGTGTGTGTTTTCCTTCCATAAATACATACATATGTATTTTAATTTATTTGTATGCCAGCAACAAGCTGCTGCGAAACTAATACCAACAACAACAACAACAACAATAATGATAGCAACAACAGCAAGTAAATCTACTTGACAGCTCTTGAGGCTTGCCTCGAGTAGTGGCACTTCCATTACAATCCCAGTTGCAAGTGACTCTCGGTGTAAGCTCTGCAAGGATGCGAAACAATGTCGATGGGAGTGCTGCAACATTGTCATGCTCGAAAGTGTGCTGCATTTTATTCGCTCGCTCTCTCTCTCTCTCTCTCTCTCTCGATTGCCAGCAAGTAGTCCCAGTGCTTAGTTGCGTATACGCACCGATAGCCGGTGTTAGTGCACAAAAATCACAATTTCAGCTAGACAAATAAAGTGCGACGCGCTGGGATATGAGCGTGGCAAACGCAACCATAGCACAACTGACACTAGACACGCCCCCATGCCCGCCAATGGAGTGGGGCGAGGGGCGAGGGACGGTTGAGTGCCAACAAGTGTAAGTTGGCTGCTCGGCTGATCAGCTAAGTGAATTTAACAAGTCAAGTGACTTGAAAGCCAATGCTTACTTGTCTGTGTGTGTGAGTGTGAGTGCGTGTGTGAGTGTGTGTGCGGTTTGGGGGGGAGGAAAAGGGGAAAGTGTGTGCTGGTGTGGCACCTGGCAGATCTGTACTTCAGCTGGCGCACGAAATCAAGCAGAAGCAGAAACCAATTTGTGCGAAAACACAAAGGCATCAGGGAAGAAATGAAATTGGCCAAAAGGGGTGCCTGGCGTCGAGCAGTTGGATTTTGGGTAAGTGGAAAATGGCAAATGGAAAACGGAAAACGGGGGAAACAGCACTGCAAATGCAAAGGCAACGGCAAAGGCAAACTTTTTAAATCGTCGCAAAGTCGAAAGTAATAAATTGTGTGACAACTTTTTTCATCCATAAGAAAACTTGGCACCGGAATTTTAATTCAATCTGACCGAAGCCCAGAGTAAAAAAACTAAGACAACTACAACAAAACAAAAAAAAATTCAAGCGTCAGAGCCAAGGTTCAGCCACAATGAAGCATCTCAAAATTATTTAAACGGAAAAATAGTTTCAACTGCAGGTGTGTGTATATGTGAGTGCTTGTGTGTGTGTGTGTGTGTGGGTGTATGTGTTTACTGTTTTGCGGTGCACTCAAATGCTGTACGGTTAACCGGCTCGGGCAGGAGAAACTAACATTATTTGATCCACATAAATGAAGCCCAAAGCCAGTGGGGCATGCAACAGCCAAGCCCTGCCTAGCTGCACTGTGCGTGGGTGTGTGTGGGTCTGCGTGGGTGTGTGTGCAAGGTTCGTTGGCTACTCAACGTGAGGGCGTGCGACTGCGTCTATTCCTGAGGTTGAGGCTGCGGCTGCGGCTGAATGTGCGCCGCAGTGGAAATGCACCCGAATAAACACAAAATTTATATGAACACATGGGAGCTGTTGGGGTGCCTGCAGTCGCGCCCTCAACTCTGGCCGCACCACCCACAAACACACACACACACACACACACACACACACATGCACATGCACAGTGGCACACTTTCACAGAATCAGCATACGTGTGTGGCAACAAAAGAAATTTTGTCGTTTCACAAATTCCTTTGCAGTTAAAAGGGGTTCGTGGCTTTAACCCGCACTGAGGTACGTTTGCCTTTATGAAATGAAACTGAATAAGTGCTTAACTATTGTTGAAAGATTAAATACCCTATTGTGGCATTTGCAGTTATGTATAAAATTACTTCTGCTGTAGCAATTAATAATTAACTTGATTAAGAATTTATGGATTGGGTTTATGTGCTTTGAGTACAAAGTGGGTTATTCCTTTAATTTCTTGCATGTATTTAGCCTTTTAACTCTTTTAATATTCCTTATTATTTATTTTGTTTATTAAACTAATGTTTTAGTTGACAAAAATGATAGACTTTAAATTTTCAATGAGCATAAATAGAGTAAAGTTGATAATATAACAAAAATTCATTAAAGTGCAAAATAAAAAGGGGAAATATAATTTTATATTTAATTAATTAATTTATTGATCTATTTATTTTTTATTTTTTTATATTTATAATTTTTTTTGAAAATATTTATTTATTTATTATTATTTTTTATTTATTATTTTATTTATTATTTATTATTTATTTATTTTTATTATTTTTTTTATTATTATTATTATTATTTTTTATTTTTTTTTTTTATTTTTATTTTTTAAGGAACTTAACCAAACCGCTTTTCTGCTTATTTTATTTTTTTAATTTTATTTATATTTATTTATTTACTTATTATTTTGTTTTTTTTTTTCTTATAATATATATACATATATTTTTTAAGGAAACCCGATTTTCTGCTGATTGGTTTTTATTATACACCAATCTGACCAATCTGTGAGTTATCTAGTTAACAATTTATAATCATACAAAATGATACCACCTATATACCCATTGCATTACCTACTTGCAAAGTATATTAGTGAGCCCCGAAGCCAAAGAGAAACAACGTTTTACAAATAGATTTTCATTTTTCATCTGAGCAAATCGTTTTGCATGGCACAATTTTGTGCGCTTTGTTCCTCGCTCGGCATCGGCGGCAGCCATAGAAATATTGTTTTCGGAGTGGGGCAGAGAATGCCAGATATACACCAGTACAAACACACACACACACACAGACACACCTACACTGAGTTTATGCGACTCATCAACATGAAAACTTTTTTGATTGACCAAAAGTACGGCGTCGGAGTTATGCAGTGCAGCTCAGTCAGAGGTCGCCAGGGAGCGCTTTTGACAAATGCGGCTCATGTTGTTTGGCCTTTGGCATATTAATGCCAAAACATGGTTTACTTCCTCCACAGGTTGCTGCCTAAATGCAAAACTTTCTCTTCAATCTCATTCGCCCAGCAATGGTAATGCTCTGATTTTGGTATTATTTTTGTTTTTTGTTTTGTTATTTGTTATTTGGCTATACTCTCTGTTTATAAAATAGACAGGGTCGGAGATTTGAGTTTTGTTGTTGCGAATTGCAGCAGAGATTAGATACTCGACTGACTAAATAATTATTCACACTCAGGCACAAATTAAAGCTTTCATATATAGAAAATCAAACATTAATTCTTTTTCTGCTTCAATTAGTTATTCAATTTGTAGATATCGGAAAATAAATTTTTCTATTTATCGTAAAGCCAATCAAAGTTGCTGGCGTAAACTTAATGCAAGATCATTTATTACTTTCGCAAATATAACAAAGTAAAACTTAATTCAAGATCAACTTGTGGAAAGTCTAGTCAATCTATATATATGATTTATTATTTTTTATTATATGGCAAATATATATGACAAATATATTTTCACTATTATTAATATTGATTATTATTTTATTTACTCAGATTAATTTTTTATATAATATTTTAAAATATATATATGCATATCAATCACTTATTTTAGAGCGCAATCCAGAGTATCTCTTAATCATTCATTTGCATGCCAAGTAATTTTTTTCAGTTTTCTTCTTCTTATTTGCTTTTCAGCTCCGTTTGCGCAATGGGCACATAAAACTCAATTGGGTCGTTAAATGTAAAAATTGTGATAAATAATCAAATTACACGCATTTGATGCTCGCCAAGATTTGACGCTTTGAATTTTTATGCCGCAGATTTTCGGCTTCCCATTTGAGGCCGTTCGGCACGCTGACGAGGCGCATTATTTATAGCCAGCCGTCGATGTTGGCTAAAGCGATTATTAGGCCCATTTGGTATTGGTTAATAATGCAGAGGGCGCAAGTGATTGGCTTGTGGCTTCTGGTCTCTGGCTTCTGCACTTGTGTGGCTCGGGGATCTTGACCTATAAATTGTATTACGTTTTCAATTAGCACGCCCCTTTTCACTTGTGACAGGCGTCCTTTGAGTGCTTGGCGACGTCTCGAATTTCTCATTAAAACTAACTAATTTCATGCGAAATGCCAAACGCTGGCGAATTTTCTGTTGCCAATCAATGTTGGTGTGCGAATCCCGCTGTTGTGCGTAACAGGTAAATTTAAAGCCAGCACCGCATGACTCAGTGTGTGTGTGTGTGTGTGTTTGTTCTCGTCGCTTGTCACTTTAACAGATTAAACAGTGCTGCCGTCAGTGGCATGTCGAGCCGTCGCGTCGGCTGTTGATGTCGTTATGTATTTGATGGCCAAAGTTGTTTGTGCATAGCCATTAAACAGAGAGACAAAGACAGCCACCCCTGCCCACCCCCTGCTCCCTTTCAATGAAATATTTTGCTTGGCAGGTGGAAAAAAAAAATGTCAAAGGACAACATGATTCAAGGATAACGATTCAGCTTGTCTAGTCCCACACGAAAAGCTCTTGGCGCAATTAACAGTTAAATGGCTATGGTAATCATGACTTTACCAAGCATGCGATAATGTTGTATTGGTATTTTAATTAGCTGTAAACATATCAGCACCCCAAATGGCCAGCCACGGTCTGCTCTTTGATGTGATCTTGACACGGCCCGGCTGACATCCAGCATTCTAACGTAGTGCGTCAGCGCTAAAAGCACACAGCTCGCGGCTAAAAGTTAGCATTCACATTGCCTGCGGCATCGCCATCGACATCGGCATCAAAATCAAAGTCAGCGGGCCATTGGTGACACTGTCATGGGGCATGTGAAGGCGTTATTTGATACAGGAGGCGTCAAAGCGTTGACAGTTTGCACATTTCTTTCTCTTTTTTGCTCTCCCTCTCGTAACTCGCTTAGTGTTAGTGGCATCACTTCATGTTGTTGTTGTTGTTGTTGTACTAACAGCTTACAGCAAGCACTTGACTGCCTGTCTATTTTGTCATCGGCATTTCGGGGCTTTTAAGCGCTCGATCAAAGGTGAGAAATTCATTTGGTTCGCTTGGCTTGCCTCTATTTGTGCTCAGCACTTGGATATACATATATACACATACATACGAAAACTTATGAGCTAAGTGAATGTCTAATTGATTGCGATAAACGGCGCGTGTATCGGCTCTCCTTTACTTATAGATCGCCACATCGGGCCTCGCAGCTCTCCTGCGTGCAGAATCGATTGCGATTGCCGTTGCAGCCTTTGTAGGTGAAGCGTCGACAGGCTCCCTTGTCATAATACCAGCGGGTCAGGGCCTTGGTCTGGTCCTTACTGTTGCAGTAGTTGCCCTCGTTACGGCCCACATAGCAGTTAACATTGTCTATAAACGGAAGGGAGAGAGAGAGAGAGAGAGAGTGTGAGAGAGAGAGCGTGCTGTTTAATTAAGCAACTAATTGGATAATCGATTTCATAATTTCATATTAAAACTATTCATAAGTTCTTTGCTTCAATTAGTTCCAACTCCCTGCGCCACCCGCCCATCCATGTGCCGGCATGCGAATAGCCTCATTTGCTGCTATTCAATTTGGTTACGCGACACGACAAGCGGATTACGCATACAATACACACATACATACACACAAAATATTTCATAAATTCGGCTGGCAAAAAACGAAAATAATCTCTACACCAAATGGCAAATATGACTGACAACAAACAGTTTTGGCAGTGGTTTGTCAAGCAGCGGCTGCAAATTCAAGCGAATTGCCGAAATTGGCCAAAACTATTTCGTTCCTTCAATAATTGTTGGAGCTGACAGCAAAGGTAGCAATTATATATAAATTATATGTATATATAAATGTCTTATGGTCTTATAGGTATACAATATTTATAAAGTATTTGCTGTATAAAAACAAAAAATAAATGAAAACTCAGCTAAAAAAACTGCCTAAATTTAAATGAAATAAATGACTCACAACAAATTCTTTTCCAGAAAATTTGTCGTACCAATTACTATAAAAAATACTATATTATTGCCTAATTTCAATATTTTCTGCTCTAAATCAAATCCCCCACAACCCAGATCAAAGCAGCTCTAATGAGATTTTTGTTGATAATATATTCCGACTATATATGTAATTTCAATGGCCTATTTGTCTCCTGATATGCATGTCATACTTTGTAATGGACTGCATTGCATTGATTCACTTACTGAGCTCCTTGCATGCGTCGTCTCCGGATCCGGCTGCCTCAATTCCAACGGTCTGAGTCAACAGTAGGACAGATATAAGGCAGACAAGTGCCAGAGATATGAAACTGAAATTGATTTTCAAATTCATAATTTTTCCTTCTGTTTTCACGTCGCGCAGCACTCAGTGAAATGCAATTGAATGGGCAACAGCGAGCGAAATGTCTCGGCGAGTGCTCCAATAGTTTCGTTGTTTATTTTAAGTAATTTGCGCTACTTTGACACAAACGCGACGTGGTCCAACGAACCGAGCAGACTGAACGCTGGCCGGGGCATACTTTTAGCTTATATACGAAATGCCGGAAATTGTGACAAAAAAAAAAAGAAAATTTGTTCCCGAAGCCCAAAGCACGAGCATGCGGCTGTTCCCATTCTCTGAATACTATTTGTTTTTCTGTTTTTTTCTTCTTTTTTTCAAAATATTCTTTTATTTAGATTTGTTGTTTGTCTCCACTTCGAAATTTCGAAAATACTCTGAACAATTGTCCAACTGACCAACAGCTGATACAGACTCTCATCCATTCGGCCATCCATGCAGCCATCCATCCATCCATCCATCCATTTATACAATCAGCCAGTGTTCGACGGTTTATATCCATCATAGCTAAGCAGGGGCAGCTATTTTCGGTCGAGAAATGTATTTGGCGGGGTCCGGCAATCGCACTCAGCGTTATCGCCAGGCGTTTACTTTGCGCTCGTTTGCATAATTTCCAACTTATTGAATATATTCCACATAATTAATTTTAATTATTTCTGCGCTCGCTTTCCTTTGCTCGAGCATTTGAATTAATTTGCAAAAGGGAAAAGGAAAGGCAAAAGGGTCGGCCATGGATCCAGTTAAGGGTTCGCTGCCATTGTCTCTAATTACAATTGGGCGGCATTTGTTTTAGATTTTTCAATGTCGAAAAAGAATTTCTCCCCATTGACAAGTGGCCGGGACTTTCGAATGATGTCAAGAGGCGAACGCGCAAATCAATCTTAATTTCAAATTTAATTTGCCAACTCATATCGATGGGGGGACACATATATATAGATTTTAGTGCGTCAAGGACTGACGCAAGAGATTGAGTTGGAGTAATTGGTCCAACATGTCGTATGATTAATTGGCCTGCAGTGCATAAGAAATGTGCTAATGGAAAAATGCGCCATGAGCAAGGGCAACATTAATGAGAATTTCACCCGCTGCTGGGTTACCCCACATACACATATGTATGTCAGCTCTGCGAGCATTGCCCCCCACGGCAATGTTGAGCAAAATGTCAACTGACTTTTTAATTGGACGCTCGGCTTTCAGCGCATTCTTCGCATTGGATATCTCAGCTGTAGTTGGGGAATCATCGAAATTACAGCAAGCGCAAGCAAGGGGAAACAACGACCTCCAAAACGGAAGTCTTAACGTGCCAGGTATACAGAACCAGTCAACTGGAAGAGCTTTCAAGTTGCCAACCTGTCAAAGCTGGCCGCAGCAGCAGCGGCGCGCGGCGCCAGACTTTTGAGCGCACTGCCCGTGATTAGTTAGTCAAAGGACGAACCGGTGGCGTATACGTGATGTATCAGCGGCAGTAAATCAATACGTACTTAAATGCGGCTCACACTCAAACGATATGATTTAGCGGAAAAAAGAACCAAAAGCATATAAAAGAAGCAAAAATAACAAAATAAACAAGCGCAAGGATGTTTTCTCAGTCGAACCACCTCTTGACTGTAGTATACTCTGTTCAGGGTATGCGAGATATTGTATGTTCGCTCGATATTATTTTTTATGTGTTTTGCTCGGCTTGTTTCGCCGGCAATTTACATAATATTTATGAAAACTTTTACATGTTGGTAACGATTCCCGAGCCCACAGCGAGAATTAATTTCTCTCCAATGCAAACTTCATATAAATATTTTACTTAGCATACTCCTTAGCACTCCGCCAACAGGGTATATATGAAAAGAAAGAAAAACAACATAAGAAAAAAAAAATATATATATATAAAAGCGTCCGTTGACTTCAGCATTTCCTATAGTCCGCCACGTAATGTAATGCCGTAATTTGTGATTTTCCACTTGTTTTGACAATTTGGTGATTTTCTGATTTTTCGTATTTAATTTTGACGGACTTCTAAACGCACTGGACCAAAAGTTATTTAATGGCTGCACTTGAACGTGCCGAGAGCCGATGCCGATGGCGATGCCAAAGCCAGACTCAGAGCCAGAGCCAGTGGCAGTGCCAAAGCCGCCATACCTTTCGAATACTCGACAGCCTTTACGCTGACGACACTCGCAATGCGGGGCCATAAAGTAATGGGCTTAAACTGGGGCAGCTTCTGGTCGTTTGTCATTAACCAAATACTGCAAATTCTTGCGAATTCTTGCAAATTCTACCTTAAATTCCTCAACATTTCCTTTTAACGTCGGTTATGTTTTATTACATTTCTTTGCTCTGCTTATTTTTGTTCCGTTTTCCTTGACGAATCTGTTTGACTTAAAGTCGCCCTCAGCGCGCTGCTTGACTTGTCCGCAAATTGAGGAAATGAAACATTTGAATGATTCACTTCCGGCCTTTGTTCAGCAGTTCGACATTTCCATAGCTACCCAAAAAGAGTTGCTCTTCCCCCTCCCCCCATGCTTAAGTCGATTCACAATGTAAAATATGTAAGTTCCAAGGATTAGGTCTGTTGCCAGGCTGGGCAATGTTTTACAAAACAAAATAAGTCGAAATTAAGCGCTTCATTTGGAGCTCTGGGCCCGGCTCCTGCTCCGGAGCTGTGTGAGCCCATCGATATGTTGCAACTGCCTAATATCGATCTCAATGAATCGGAACAGCTGAATGGCGGGCAGTTTCTTACGGCACATTGGCATAGTGACAATGAAATCTGTCCACATTGCCGCACAACAATCGAGAGGTCGATAGTCGAGGCGGGCCCCAGCAGGTTGGTGGCTCTGGCTTGGCAGTGTTTAAGTAAAAATTTTACAATTTGCAATAAAAATTCCAGTTTTGCTTTTCGGAATTCAGTTTATGGTCGCCTCTTGCGACAGGCTAAGCGCTGCTAGCTCGCTCGATTGTGTCCTTGTGCAGCACTGAAAGATCCGGTGGCTACCCGCTCGAAGCTCTCAGCCAGAAAATTATTATGCGTCGAAGAGACCGCGTGCCGTGCGGACTCCGGCTGACTCCGGCTGACTGTGGCTGCGGCCCAACAACAATTTAATAACAAAACATATTTCGCTTGCATGCCAAAGAAGCTGTAGAGGAATGCGCTGTGAACGAAAATCGAATGTGCCCATCACTCGCCCCATCCATGTAGCAGAGTGTACACTGCACACAGCACATTTTAAAGCATTGACATTTGGCAAAGGCAAAGGCAAAAGCAAATCCATTGCTGGCCCATTGCGAGTTATGTATGACTTGAACGCTGAGGACAGTCCGTGTGATGTTGATTTCACTCATTTCCGACTCAAATGGATTTTGATTGTCTGCCCGGGCCCGGGCCCGGGCCTGGGCCCAGTCTGGCTCCGTTCAGGCCCGTGATGGCTGGAACGTGTCTGCCATTTGTCTGCACACTCGTTTGGCAGCCGCTACCAAATGACTTTCTTTTCCTTGGCCCCTTAGTTGGTCGCCGTTCGCTGTTGGCCATTGGCTGTTGGCTGTTGCTTGTGAGGCCATTAGGTTTTATTGTAATGATTTCTATTACCACACAGCCACTGCGGCTGTTGTTTTTGCTGCAACTTGCAGTTGGCTGTTGGCAGTTGGCAGTTGGCAGTAGTTGGCAGCTTACGTGGCCATCGCGCTTAATGAGTAGTTATTTCCGCTTATATATCTTGATAATGCCAAGTCGTGCGAACAGCGCCTTTTGTGGTAATCGACTCTGTGCCGAGACACGTTCCCATATTAATTGCTCTTTATACTCGCATTCGTGTAAATTCATTAGCATGAATGCTTTCTAATTGAATTTATGCATAATTTATTTGTAATGATATGCGAAATTTGGCCATATTTATGCACAGTCCGCACACACATAAACATGCTTCAATCTACTTATAATATTATATATATAAATATCTCCTTTGTTTCTCCTTTTTTTGCTGCGCACTTGAATTTATGAATTTCATTTTGTGGCTGTCACAGCAGCGATAATAAAATAAGCCCGAGTTTGTGGCAAATGCACACGAAAATTATGTTGTTTTTTGTTTCCCTTTCATTTCATTGTTCTCCCTTTTTTTTTTTTTAAATGATATACATAATTAAATTTAAAGTGCTTTTATTTTGCATTTAAATAGGGCTGCCAGCTATCATGGAAATCTCATTTATTCTGTGAAGTTTTCCTCTTTTTTTTTACAATTTGCAGCAGCTCTAGTCCGATTATGCGATTACAAATTTATTATAACTTTGCTGTTTGCTGCAGCTCTCCAGTTGAATCAGCGAAATCGATTTGAGACTCGCTCGGCAAATGCAATTTGAGCGCGTTTGCTTGATTTGGGTGCTGGGGTTTCGCTCAGCTCGTGCCACATGCGAATGATTATCAATTTGCGAGATTGTGATTGTCGTAGAGAATAAGTGTGAACCACAGTGCAAAGTAACTAATCTCTTGGTCAAAGAATTTTGATTTTGGATTGGTATAAAAAAAAGGCTTATTTTTTAGGCAAGCTTAAAAGTATGCTATAAATATATGTAGAAAATTTAGAAAAAATATATGCGATTCATAAAGTCAATCAATGGAGACTAAGAGAGGTCACTGTCGAGCTCCGTATGATTTTATAGACATAATTTTAAAAAATATATTTATATTAAATTATATGAATACTTTAGTTTATTGAATTTAACTTTAACTTCAGTTCTTCACATTCTCAAATGAATTCTTGTACATTGTGGATACAATTTTCTAGATTTGCTCCTGTGCACTCAACAGTTGTTCAATGGCCATATATTTGTGCAGGATAAGCAGGACACACTGCATAAATATATAAATAAATTTAAAGACAAAATTAATAAAATCTTGAGTTAAAAAAAAAAAGAAAAAAACTTAAATAATTTCAATAAATTCTAATTAACAACAACTGATCATTGTTGCTCTTTCACAATTTCAACATACCTTCTCAGCATGCCAACCACGGTGCAGCACTCCGTATGCTCTACAGCAAATCGAGAGCGCAAACAAACACATGGAAATTGAAGTCGCCTGATAGAGATATTGGTCGCTTCCCTCTGCCGCTGCCGGTAAGTGGAGCACAGCGAGCATCTGTTTGCTCGCAGTGATTAATGTAGCCAAAATGTATT